GCTTTCACTGGTGCAGCATGCCATTAGTGTTTCTGCTGTGTTCTGTTTTTTAGTCTTGTTGCATTTTCTTCTCTGTGTAATGAATACCAACAGCTGCATAGGTATCCATCGATCTTTTGCCCTGTTGATCTCTGGGCAAAAGATCAACAGGACACTTTTTCCCACCGCAACAAGTTGCGAGTATCGAGTTCTGGTTTCTCTCACCCAATTTATTGGCATACACTGTGTAGTCAGTAAGAGTACATCCACACACAGCTGCCCCAGACTATATCCAGGTGGGCTGGTGAAGTGCTGTGTTATTTCCTGGAATAACCATTTCTCTTCAAAGTAACTTTGTAATGTATAAGCTATGATGTGGTTGTAAGAGCTCAATGATCTTACAAATTTGATGAGATTACAGATTTCACACCCTTTGCCCAAATCACACAAGATAAGTTTATGATTAAATATTGTTTTTACCTCATGTGAAGCATTACTGGAACATTGGAATATATTCCGAACACCACTGCAGCATTAGCCAAAGCTAATAAAAGTAAAAGAGCACATGGGACCAGGTTCAGTAGTACGTCATAGATTGTTAGTCTGTCCTTAAGAAAACAAATCCAAAAACCTGAATTCTACATAAGGTAAATGGTGCAAGTTAAAGAGGTGACTGCTTAATAGCACTCTCCTAAATTAATAGACATGAATTGGTTCCACATGGCTACAATATGGTTGGACCGCTGCCTAATAATATTAGCTACCATAACTATGCGGATGACACACAGCTCTACATTACAATGTCACCTTGTGACTCTGAACCCATCCAATCACTGAATAAATGCTTAGAACAGATAAATGTGTGGATGTGCCAAAACTGAACAGAAACAAAACTGACGTTATTATTTTTGTACCTAAAGAGGACCGATCTAGAGCTATAGATCTAGAGTCATTGCGCAGCTTCAGTTATTACAACTAAAAACTAACAATCAGCCCGAAACCTGGGAGTAGTGACGGACTCGGACTTGAACCTCCAGAGCCACATAAAGACGATTACAAAGTCGGCCTTCTATCACCTGAAGAACATCTCCAGGATTAGAGGACTAATGTCTCAGCCAGATCTAGAGAAACTCATCCATGCGTTTATCTTTAGTCGCATTGATTATTGCAACAGCGTCTTCACAGGCCTGTCCAACAAATCATTCAAACAGCTGCAGCTGATCCAGAAGCTGCTGCTCCTGTTCTCACTAAAACCAGGAAGATAGAGACATTACAGCAGTTTTAAAGTCCCTCCACTGGCTCCCTGTAGCTCAAAGAATAGATTTTAAAATAATGTTGTTAGTTTATAAATTACTGAACTTGAAATGTAATATGTAACAATGTATTGTCTATTATATGTTGCATGACTTTGTGTTCTTATGTTTATGATGTAAAGCACTTTGAAATGCCTTGCTGCTGAAATGTGCTATACAAATCAAATTTGATTTGATTTGATTTAATAGCAAGAAGTTTCTGGATTCTAATCCCAGCCTGGCTTTGTTGGAGAATCAGAAGGTGCAAACTCTTGAGTAAACAAATAATACTCAGAGACGTGTCCTTTACTGCCAGTCACAACGGGTCGGGAGATTTATTATCACTTCTACCATGAATGCATCAGTACAAAATCAAAGTTCCAAAAATCTTTTCCCCAAAATCTCTCCGTATTCTTGACAACAACCTTTTTTTTATACTTCCCGTTTTCCATTGGTGTGTGTTGGGAAGTCTTGACCAACCAAGTATTGCTTTTGGTTTTACGTCAACATTCTGGAAGCCCTTAGACTGAGTGTATATTGGACCTTTCTAGACCAATCAACCTCGTGAACTTGAAGAGATCCGTTCCATTTCAGAATTGCCAAACAAATTGTTGTTCCTATCTACCTAAACAGCTTACTTCCCAAGTCATATTTTGGTCCAACTTTGTGCCTTGCACGCAAGGGAGGAAAGTTATGTCATTATGACCCAGCTAGGCACCAGAATCTTTCCACAAAAACAAGTTCATAAAAATATTTTCGCTCTCACAGCTTCTTTCTATGAGGAGTCTGCAGGTTCTCCCAGAACAGATCTGTTAGGTTAACTGCTTCTTCTACATTGGCCTTAATTGTGAGTCTGTGCATGTTGATATGTCCTTTGATAACTGTGCTGTGAGAGAATGAAACACAGCCTTGACACAGCAGTGGACCATATCATGTCAACTGGCCGTCAACTTTAAAGAAGACGACCAGCAATCACAGTCATCAGCAAAGTTGGAAGACAAAATAATTCTCAACTTAGTTTCAGCAGTCTGTGGTTTAAATACACCATCTTCCTCTAACATGCAACTTTCACTCTCAAAAAGTGATGAAGAATATGGAGCTAAAGAATTTTGCATATTAATAAGCAGAAATAGCTCCATAAAATTTGAAAAGTTCAAAATCAGAAAGGTAAAATTCCAATCAAGAAATGTACATAGGTAGAAAGGATTGGCATCAGATATTTAATGTAGATAAATTTAGATTAAATATCTGATTTATCTAGATATAAATCTGATATTTATGTCTTGATATTTAATTGATAAATATTGACTTTAAATCTAATTAATATCTACTTTTTGTAGATTTAAAAAAAATCTTTTTTATACAATAAAGGTAGAACGTTTTTTTTTACCATTAAATTAAAAGTTCACTACCACTAAAAACATTTCGGTCTGTAAACTCATTCCATCTTCTCTATGCTCCCCAGGCAAAAAACTTAAATCTTTAAACTGCTTGAATAAAACAGCAAGTTAAAACTGAGTCTAAAAGTATTTAATCTGCTTAAAAAAAAAAAAAAAATCAGTTCTATTAAGTAACACATTCTCTTTGTTTCTAGACCTTTTGTGCATGCATGAACAAGTCTTGATAACTATGTTGTGTTGATGAAATGTCAGTCAAGTTTGGGTATTATCTTAGAATAATGAGAGGCTTTATTACCTTACCTTACTGCCTACTTGACACCGAGGGATGTGTGTGAGTGAGAGCACCCACTTGTACTTTTAGTTCTCAGAAAACAGAAAAAATAAACATATTTATATTCAGCGAATAAAGGAAAATGTTTCATTCTTGGAGTTCCAGGACATTGGGTATCCTTTAACTTTTTATCTTGAAGTCATGAAGAAATGGTTAAACAGTTGCCAACTTTAATATTTGATCTTTGACCCATAGCTAATACCAGTAACAACCAAAACTATGTGGTGAATGAGAAAAAATATTGGTCAATGGTCTGAAAGGAGGATCTTATCACATCTCAGAGAGGGTTATAGAATGGGAAGAGTTACAGTAAGGGGCAGGTTCAAAAAACAGGACACAAGAGTTAAAGAGTGGTACTTACTATTCCAAAACAGGAGGTACTACAAACCCAAAGTACACATAAATTGAAAACCAGCTATATGAACATGTATTCCTGCTCAGGAAAGACTGAAAGAGACAGACTGGCTAAAACAGATATCAGGAAATTGTTTTCTTATGCTGGACATATAGGTCTCCTTTACAGACCAACCCCTCCCACCAGGTCTCACCATCACAATGCAAACAGCATGGAAGGAAACTGAGTTCACAGAGGGCCCTGGGCTGTTTAGACAAGGAGTAAGGCCACAGCAGTGTCTAAACATTGAATAATGAACTCTGACCTTAAGTGAGGCAGTAAAGCCTACTATGTTGTAGATGATACCTGCTACATTTAGTGTTAAGGACAAGTTTTGTTTTTGTTGTAGAACCTCTGTCACTAAAATGTTTGATGTTTTGAGGCATGAACACATTATTTACTTTGTTAAACAAGATTACATCAAGTTCCACTATGAGGATTGTTTTTTTTTATTATTTGCCATTTTAACAAAACTAGTACAAGATTATTAAGAAACCTAAAAAGGCATACTTCATTAGTGTAAAGTATACACTGAGATGTAATTTAAAACATACTGAAATTTCAATATATCAGTTTACTTTTAAGTGAGCTTTAAATTAATAAAAAAAAACTATTTTGAACATATATAAAATACACGCAAATTATCTTTAAAATAATATTGTTTCATTGGCAACTTTGAGCAAATATACATTTTGTTCACATAAAGTATACCTTTATTTAATATATTTCTTAAAAGTGTATAGTGGTACAAATATTTTTAAGTGTATTTAAAGATATAATGTCAAAAATAGTACAAGCATGCTATTAGTACACTTTGTATATATTTCTATATCATACACTTACTACTTAATATATGTAAAATCTGCTTATACAAATGTAAGTATCTTTGAAATATACTAAGTTGTTTTTATTCCACTAGGGGAGCTCTGCTCCATTGTCATAGGATTTTTAACACTATTCAAAGCAGTGCAGCCAATTCCAAGCAGTTTTTTTCCTATGTTTATCTGCTTAGATTGAACCACAGATCTATGACCAGAGTCCCACCAGAGGAAGAAGAGCCTTTGTTGTGCTTTCTTCACCAGGTGGGAGGTGTTTGTATTCCAGGAGAGGTCAGATGTGATGTGGAAGCCCAGGAACGTGATGTTGTCCACACGCTCCACCACTTCTCCATCTATGAGAAGGGGAGTGTGATCCATCCTCCTGGACCTTCTGTAGTCCACAATGACCTCCTTGGTCTTCCCTGTGTTCAGCACCAAATTGGTGGCTGAATGAGTGAGCTGCTGAATCTCCTCTCTGTAGTGGGTCTCGTTGGGTCAATTGCCCACCTAGGTCCCCTGGACAGGAAGCTGTTATTTATTTATTTTTTTATTATTATTTTATTTACGTCAGAGAGGCCAACTTTCTATTATTTCCATCTCAATTTGGTACAATAGGGGATCCACATTTTCCATATCTGTGCCCTGTTGTTAAAAACTGCTGTCACTTCAGTGCAGCTAAAATAAACCCCAGAACTCTTATAGCTTACCTTCAGCTCCTGTTGTCAGTCTCAACTCTTCACATTGAGACTGATTTAGAAGCCAGTTGAACCAGAGACACAATAGAAATCATGAAGTGTTTTGTTTATTTCACCCATAAAGCAAACATGTCTGAAAGAAGCAGTGAGAGGACACAGGGTTTGTCAATGTCCTGGGGTCAATGTCCTTAGCCTGTTGGTGAAGATTCTCACCAACAGGCTAAGAAGAGAAACTGGTTGTGTGGGGCAGCACCTGGCTAAAGGCCAAGGTTCTTTGCTATAACTGGGTTCTTGCTGAAGTGTTGTCGTGCCATTGAGTGTTTCTGTTCAATCCACTGGATAAATGTAGTTTCATATGCCTGGAAACAGATTAGAAAGATTCAGTCAGACAACTGTATGTGGTCAGCCCAGGAAAAATACATTGAGCAAAACCTTTGTTTGCACTTTGCTGAAACCTCAGTCACAGTCAGACAGTCAGACAGTCAGACTTGAACAAACCTTCTGGATGTGTTCCACTTGTGTGTGAGCTGAAGTCTCCTCTTTGGACAACAGTATGCAGTTCCAGGGGCTCCAGTCCTCCTGGATGTCCCAGCGAGCAAACGCCAGGTTGTAAATGTCTCTGCTGCCATTCAGAGCTGAGCAGGAAGCCCAAACCTTTTCTATTAGGTAGCGAATGTCGTCCACCTGGACAGAGGCAAAGGTCAGCATGTTGGCATGTTGGTCTATTTGAGGTGTAATTTAGATTTATTTTGGTGTTTTCCCTGAAATTTCAAGACTGAATTTCGGTATTTGTATGTTTAGAAAAATCTCTTTTGGTTGTTTTGATTACTTGTAAAAAGATTTTCTTTCAAATTTATGAAAAGAAAACCTCAGAAAATAATGTATGCTATCTGTAAACATGCACTCCTTTTTCAACTAAACCAATCAGAAAATTATGTTTCTTCTGCCTTTTAAATGTCTTCAGATAAATCCACATCTGCAGACACCCGTAAAACATGAAGTGTATGTATTCTCTTAGGGAAATCTTGACATATGTCACTGAGATTGACAGGGCTTCACATAAACGAGAGCGAGCCATTGGTTGCTCACATGCAGAGAGAGTAGCATTTACCTGCAGCAAGAAGGGGATGGAAGTTTCCGGATTGAGGCGGAGCTCATCAGTTCTCAACCTCCTCAGAATGCTTTGGTAGACAGAGTTGTCATCTCGAGATCTTGCAACGTTGTCTAGGCTGGTACAGTTTCGGCAGCGACGACTCCGGCAGCCAGTGGTACTTGAACCAAAGTCGGCAGACCAAAGGTACCGCTGGCACCCATGGCAGAAGAACATATCGTGCTGCAGCTCAGATGGTTTCTTGTGAACCTGGAACAGACTCTATGTTACGCTGAGATCCAGTTCACACACATCTCTAAAGCCAACATGTCCAAGGACATTTTGATTATGTTACTTCAGATAGCTGTCAATGTAGTTCATGTATTAAGAACAGATTTATTCTGCATATAAACTTTGCTGTTTTTAATCATTTGTTTCCCTTTTCAATGATTCCATCCAGTGGTGCCAAATTTCTACTTCTGCATGGGTATAATGATAATAAACACCCAGCTTGATAAAGTTAAATACAAATCTATTTTCCTTTGCTTTCAAAGCCTTTTCAATATCAATATAAAGAATGCCATTCCTTTCAGTATCAAGAGTGGAGTAAATACAGAGGACACACACATATATATATAAAAAATTCCCTTCTCACCCACCTCGGGTGGTTCTTATCCTCTGAACTCGGGTCCTCTACCAGAGGCCTGGGAGCTTGAGGGTCCTGCAGTATCTTGGCTGTGCCAAGGACTGCTGCACATTTCTGGACTGAGATGTCTGATGTTGTTCCTGGGATCTGTTGTAGCCATTGATCCAGATGGGGGTTACTGCCCCGAGGGCCCCGATGACCACAGGCACCACTGTGGTCTTCACCTTCCAGGCCTCTCCAGTTCTTCCCTGAGGCCCTGGTATTTCTCCAGTTTCTCCTTTTTTCTGATGTTGCAGTCACTTGGTATTGCTACATCTACCACAACGGCTTTCCTCTGTTGTTTATCCACTACGACAATGTCTGGTTGGTTCGCCATTACCATTCTGTCTGTCTGGATCTGGAAGTCCCACAGGATCTTAGCTCTGGTGTTCTCCACCACCTTTGGGGGTGTTTCCACTTTGATCTCGGGGTTTCCAGTCCATATTCTGCACAGATGTTTCTGTACACTATGTTTGCCACTTGGTTATGTTGTTCCATGTACGCTTTCCCTGCCAGTATCTTGCACCCTGCTGTGATGTGCTGGACTGTCTCAGGGGCCTCCTTGCACAACCTACACCTTGGGTCTTGTCTGGTGTGGTAGATCTGGGCCTCTATTGCTCTGGTCTTTAGGACCTGTTCCTCAGCACAGAGGATGAGGGCCTCTGTGCTGTCCTTGAGTCCAGCTTTTTCCAGCCATTGGTAGGATTTACTGATATCAGCCACTTGGGTTATTTGCTGGTGGTACATCCCATGTAGGGGCTTGTCCTCCTATATATATATATATATATATATATATATATATATATATATATATATATATATATACAGTTTGGGGGTGACTGCCCCGGGGCCCTCGGGGCAGTCACCCCCAAACTGGATCAATGGCTACAACAGATCCCATGAACAACATCAGACATCTCAGTCCAGAACACAGCTGGACACAGCTGGACTCCCAGAGGCCTGGGAGCTTGACCCTCAAGCTCCCAGGCGTCTGGTAGAGGACCCGAGCTCAGAAGATAAGAACCACCCGCGGTGGGTGAGAAGGGAATTTTATATTTTATATATATAATATTAGCAAGAAATCACTTGACAACAGGCTGAAAGGTCTCAGACACAATAAAACACTGATCTAGAGATATTGAAGACAGACAGCTTTGACTGAACATACATACCATCACAATAAATCCTCTGGTTTTACATAAAGAGCGCCATTAACATCATATGGTTTACCTTTAGCAGTTTGATCACTTTGGGGTTAAACGCCGGTGTTCTGATGTACTGAAGGAAAAGAGTGCAGATCCTCTTCCTCAGGCCCTCCAGATTATGCTCCTTAACATCGCGACCCATCAAGTCCATCTCCCTGTCAATCAGATCAATGATGTCCCACACCAGCTGACACTCGTGCTCCTGTCCAATAAGCAAACTCAGTGGTGTCAGCATCTTTGTGAAGCACAGGCAGCAGACATCTTCAGTGATCTCAAGAATATTACCATAACAGTGTTTCTCAGCTTCTCTAGGAAGCTCCATCTCTCCTGCTGGTCCACAGGGAACTTGCTTATGTCATCATAGATCTCCTTCAGCGCCCTGGCTCTGATGTCAGGCACAGAGTCCATCTCAAACAGACGACCTGTGGCTGATCGCCACTGATGGGCAGCAGCTGCCTGGACAGGGTACACCAACCTGTTAGGATTTCTGCTGATGGCAAAGGTATCCAGTATATACCTTCAACTTTTCACTGCCACAATGTTGAAAGTTCCACTTGCTTTTTTATTGCATGTCTACTCATTCCTCATTTCTGAAATCTGGTGTACTAAACCTGAAACTTGCCACAAAAAGGGAGAAAATGTTATCATGGCTTTGTTGTACTAATGCTTCTTGGCAATTGTTCTTATTCCACTGGCGATTCCTCCTTAAATGATGCCATTCCTTTGTATTGTCACTTATTGTCCTGAGGAAAGGAGCTGAGCATGGGGACGGGATTGGTCTGACAGGAAAGTCCAGGTCATCATACTAACAAGAAGAGATTCTACAGTCAGATGGCATCTGAGGAGTAGGATGTGTTTATTTCAGTCCATACAGAAAATATTCACAACACTTTTTTTTTATTTGCTCCTTTACAGCCTTATTCCAAAATGTGTTCAAGTAATCTTTCCTCAAAATTCTACACATCTGTCATGACTTCAGCCTTTCTGCTCCTCCTTCTGCGCTGATTGCTCATCACTCTCACCTGCACTGTGCTGCTCCCTATTTATACAGCTGATTTTCACCAGCTCAGTGCGAGATCGTCTGTTGCCCTTGTCACAGCTTTCAAGCCATTGTTTCATGTCTCAAGGAGTTTTCTGGTTTACTGATCCTGCCTGTTTTTGACCTTAGATTCTGCCTTGTCCTTCGGCCGCTTAAAGTTTTCTGATCTCCTGTTGAAGAACCCTGCCTGTCGCCGACCCTGCCTCCTGCTTGCTGTTTTCTGGATTTTCTGTGCCTGTGGCTCTCCTGTGCATGACCCTGGATCGTCTCTCTACTCCGTCTCTGGTTTGTGGACTTTGCCCCTGTGGTCTGTTTGTTCCCTGAGCCCCAAAGACTTTCTGTTGTCCTTTCATCCTACTTCGCCCCACCCCGTTCAGTCCCGTCTATAATATTATTTTTGTCATTAAAACTTCTGATTTAACTTACTCCTGTGTTGGCTGCGTTTTGGGTTCTGGCTTAGTTTGCTATCATTACAATATCCATCCATCCATTTTCTAATCACCCTTCTCCCTAATGGGTTGGGAGGTGCTGGTGTCTATCTCCAGCTGTGTTCCGGGCGAGAGGCGGAGTCACCCTGGACAGGTCGCCAGTCTGTCGCAGAAAATTCTATACACACATACTTTATTAAGACAATGTGGATTTCTTTTGTTTTGCTTCTTCATTACAAATAGAAAAAAGGCTCTGGAGAACAAGAAGGAGGTAATTAAACCATTTCATTCCAGCGTTTTGTACCTGTGGCACATTTAAAAACTGCAGGACAGCGGCCCTTGAGGACTGGACCCCTGCAAGGTTTAAATAGACCATAAGAGAATTATTTACATGTGAAAATGAAGGATTTAAAAGGTAACTAACTGTAAATCATCTTTTTTTTCTTCTATCATGCCTAATACCTGATATATTTGAGAAAAGGTGATTCTATGAGATTATTATGCTTTCTAAAGATTTTATGCAAGTCATGTGCAGGAAATTATTCTTATTATGCACAACAAACTGCAACAGTGGTGCCTTAACACTTTGATGAAATTATATCTGTATTTATACCAAACACACATTTTCGATTATTCTGATTTGTAAGCTTTCTGTCTTTGAGGAAAGGCAGTTTATCCTAATGTAAATGCGATTTCTGGGTTTTCTGCAAAGTACTAAAAAAACATACTTGACATTGTCATTATGGGGTATTTGGGTGTAGAATTTTCAGAAAATATTTTGAGAGGCTGGAATAAAACAAATTGTGGAAAAAGTGAAATACTCTGGATGGTCTGTATTTATCAGTAATTGTGTTGAACTAAGGGATTTAACTGAAGGTTTTGTGTCTATGTGGTTTGTTGTAAGCTGGTTTCTTATGAAGTGAGATGAAGCTTCATGAAGCACTGAGGCATGCTATTTGCAGTAATATAAGCAGATTACACACTGATGAACCATCAGCTTGCTGGGTAATTTCATGTAATCTCTCATTTTTGATGAACACCCTTGAATCATTTCAGTGTAGCACAAAGGACAGCTGGATTTTACATGTGTTACAGTAGAAGTGCATTTTTTTCTGTGTATTATGGTCTCTTGCATCTGGTGGACACTGACTTTTCTCCCAGATTTTTGTGTGGCACAGACTGACAGTTTCATCTAGCAGGACAACACCACGCTTTGATTCACTGTACACCTCTGGATGAGACACTTTGAAAAACTAGGACTGCTTTACTTTTCAATTTACCATCTAATTCCTATTCTCACATGGCTTATTTCCTATATACAAGCCCTCAAGAGCAGATATCTTTTGATGTACAGTCAGTTCAAGAAAATCTGGGAGTTTATACTCCATCATTGAAAATATAAAACAACATAAATCATTGAAAACCACAAAATGGCTACGATATGCTCATAAATGCTTCTTTCGTTGCATAGTGACACTGAATAATTAGGCGTTGTACAACATATACAAACTCCTGATGTTCACTGGGACGGACATTAAACTTTTTAAAAATCCTACAATTTCATGATAGAAAAAAATCAAAATACCTTCAAATATTTACTGGAAATACTTAGCAATTTTTTAGGCTGCTATAAACATACATTTATATTTTTGGTGGAAAACAAATGCTCACTCCTCCCCGTCTCTTGTTTCATACACATGCTTGTTTTCTCTCATGCCTCAAACTTACTAGGATCAACTTAAGAGTCTAAACTTTATTGTTTTTGTTTAATAAGAAACCAATCTGTAAGATCCATCATGCAAATAACAAATTTCTTAAGTTTTTTTATTGGTTTAATCTCAGAAAAATAGCATGTCCATTCCAGTGGACCAGGGTGTGAAGGAGTTAATAAGCTTAACAATTATGGAATTCTTATGAATCTGCTCTTAAGGACTCAAGTTTGTTTAAATCGGTGTTTCTCAATTCTGGTCCTCATGTCCTCCTGCCCTGCATGTTTTAAGTGTTTTGCTTCTGTCACACATTTGGATTGAGACTGTGGGGGATTAAAGATTCACTACTTAACCTCCACAAAGAAGCACTGAACTACAACCAGAGAAAGCGAAACACACATTTTCTTACACTTTCTCAAATTTCTTTTTCTCATTCAATATGTTCATCACAATCCAGACAGAGGAAGAGAGAGGAATATCAACCTCATTTACCTTGCTAAGCCTGATATTATGCTTGTTAACATAATATCCAAAACAGACCTTTAAATATTTTGATTTTCAGGTCGGCAACAAGGCTGAAGCAGGTTAGTTATAGTCACCAAGTAAACTGATTTGTGTGGAAAGTTTGGATTCCAAATTTTGTGCAGCCCTGAAGCTGCACAAATAGATCTGAATAGTTTAAAGTTCATTAAAGTTAACTAGTTTCCATTAATCTAGTTTCCTTCTGTCATATGTTGATGTGCCACTGGGCAAGGTACTCAGCCTGAAGGTAACCTATCAATATTCTTATTGGTGTTAAATGTGTGTGTTTATAAGTGTGAATAGGTGAATCTTAGTTTTTAGCTCAGTAGTGTTAAACTCCAATCCTCAAGGGCCACTCTCCTGCAGTTTTTAGATGTGCCATAGGTACAAAACACTGGAATGAAATGTCTTAATTACCTCCTCCTTGTGTAGATCAGTTCTCCAGAGCCTTGCTAATGACCTAATTATTCTATTCAGGAGGTGCAGCAGAGGCACATCAAAACGTCGCAGAGCAGTGACCCTCCAGGACTGGAGTTTGACACCTGTGCTTTAGCTGGTGTGTCTAACAATGTCAATCTTGACCTTAAAGATGTTTTAAAGTACCAGGTTTTCAGTGAGCCTTTGAGCAGAAAAGTGAGCTCTAACCTTATTCAGGAAGTTCCTGATAAGTTTGTCTTGGTTGATAGCTTCTACATTGATTTGATGGCGGCCAATGGCAGCGATAAACTCCATTTCCTGCTCCAGCAGCGCACACAGAGCCGCTTTCCTTTCTGCGCCGCGTAGGCTGCAGTTTATCTGCTCCTCCTCCTCATTCCTCCACTCTGAAAAGCAAAAAGCTCAGGCATGAAGAGAGATTATACATATCCAGACACCTTACAGATGTTTTCTACACCCTCAGCCCAGGATCTCAGGCCTACTCTGTAGGGCGTGGTAGAGCAAATTGAAATCCTCTTTGTTCTGTGGGTTCATCCATCGCCTGCGGCGCTCTCTCAGCTGCGCTTCTTTCTCCTCTTTGCACTTTCTTTCCTGAAGGTCGAACCAGGCGAGGCGGCGAGCTCGCTCTCTCCTCAGCTGCTCCACTTCCTCCTGGGCTAACCATCGTCGAATGTAGGACTGCAGGCAGATAACCTGGGAAGCAAAGAATATACATACATTCACACAGCACAATGCTACCACTGTCATGCTTTGGGGTGGGAATGTGTCAGAGCAATATGCAGTTTTTCACTTAAGTCAACAATAGTAGGGGTGTTTGCTTTCTCCATTACAGCTGGACTATTTAGGGCTTGTTGCCACTCTCCCAGACCTGCAGTCACAGCAGTCCTACAGAGTGGTTCTGCCACTGGAGCTGTAGATCTCTGCATGGTAACTTCTTCTAAGAAAATGTTTTCATGTCCCTCAACAAGAAAATTAGTTTTCACTCACAGCCTTTAGCCTCCTGCCATGATACTCATCAGCAGTCACATATTTCCCAGGAGTTACCAACTTGTCATTGACACAGGACACATAGCAGCCGATGCCAGTCATCTGAGTGGACATGTCCACAGAACATTGCTGCAGCTTAGACTTCAGCTCAGCTGTCTGTTAAGGAGAAAACAAAACACAAATGAATTTCAGTGTAAAACTCTTACTCTCTAAGAAAGACGATTGGGTCCAGTCAGTCTCATCCAGCTCCAAAGCCCCTGAATCACATTCCGTTACCAGCCACTCATTCAGTTCTACAGACGCTGATAATGCGCCATTACTTTGATTCAGGTGTGTTTGCAAAGAGACACATCTAAATGTTGGAGGGAAGTAGCTCTAGAGGCCTGGGCTTAGAGAGCCCTGCTCTGTGCAATGTAGGCTATATTATAATACCACTTTTTTCATTAAAAAATGAAAACACTCTATCTACATATTTATGGAAATGCAAAAATGTAAATAAAAATAACATGTACAAATGATCTTTATAACTTTGCAGTACGGAATAAATTGAGAAATACAAAGAATCAAAGGTAAAGAACAAATACTTTCAACATGTTATGTAAAACATAATAAAATGGCTGTACGGAGGACCAAAACTGACATAATAAAAAATAAAAGCATAAATGTATATTGTTTTTTGTGTCAGAAACTTTATTAGAAAACAGTGTTATAGCTCCTGACTTTATTATTTTTCTTGTGGAACTTCCCTGCAGAACGTGTTTCAGTTTGCGGCTCTCATGGACTCAGAGGTTTACCATTGGGGTTTTCATAGTTTGGACGAAGTGGCTGCTGAAGTTGGCTTCTGATTGAAGCTCCGGGAATCCTCTGGATGCTGGATGGTAAGCTAACGCTTACATTTGTTTTACAAATACACTCATTTAATCAGTTGTAATAGTAATGAAAAGTTGATGTGTTTCAGTAACTCGGCTCACAAACCAATTACAGATTAATTACACAGAGGGATGTTTAAAATTTTTATTTATAATAATTATGACTTGTTTGGTTACAGTTAATGACAACAAAGCAATACTGTGGCTGATTTCAGCCACAGTATTGTTTTTTTTTTTTTTTTGTTACGTTATGTACACATTGCACATTAATTAATGTTCATATTGTGTATGTTTTCAGATGTTGTCTCACAGGATGGCACAGAAGACCATCCTGTGGCCTCCATTCTGTTTCTATCTGGCTTCAGACTCCCAGTGGGTTCACAACTCCAGGATGCCCAGAGATCTTCACTTTTCAGCATGAAAAATATGTGCCTAAAGCACTGATGGCACATTCATTTAAAATAAAATCTGTTTTATTGACATGCAAGAACAATCTGTATATTACTGATTTGAAGTAATTAAATATGTGTGATCATCTGATCAAGTTCTAATGAAGCTAAATAAAACTGTGTTCCTTCTAATCTTTGTAGTTCTAATTTAATCAAATCTCATGTTCACATATCCCACAGACACCAAAATGGATTGTTTGTTTGAGGCTTAAAATAACTTAAACTCAACATAATTTTAATAGAACAAAGTTGGCAAAGTAAAATTAAGTAACAATCGAAGGTTTTGGATCATATTACATTGAAGGCTCCAACAGGGCAACTAAACAGTGGATAGAAATATGTAGTACAACATAGAAATGAACAAACATAACATTTTGGGTTCCTCTTAATAGCAACATGTGCATTATTCAAGAGATCAGTCATTTCAAACTCTTTGGTTTCTTGAATAATGCATGTGTTCACTTGTGGATGCCTTCATTTGAAAATCTGCAATGTGAAATATTTTAAAATACTCAGTCCTGGTCTTCAGGTAGGTCTGCCCTGCATGTTTCACGTGTTTCCTTCTGCCACAAACCTGGACTCAATAAATGTCTGATTAACAGGCTTCTGGGTGGATGGATGAGCTAATTCTGTTTGTATCAAGTGTTCTGGAAAAGAACACTTGATACACAATAAAATAATACACAAGAAAATAATAAAGTCAGGAGTTATAACACTAATTTCTAATAAAGCTGATGAGCTGGAAGCTCTAACAAATACATAGGTCGGTGTATTTTGAGGCAGTTTATTTTTTGTTTGAAAAAACTAACTGCCTCAAAATACATGGTCCCACTCGTTATCTGTTTTTTGCATTTTCGTTTTGTGCACTAAGTGGGAAATCGGATAATGAGCTGAGCTGATATCCGATTTCTGATTTTGGTGTAATAAACAAAAAACGAAAAAACAAGTCTATTTTTGTTTTTTCAATTTTTCATTTCAAACAAAAAAACTGCCTGAAAATACATAGACCCTGATAAACTGCGAGCTATCCCTTTTCTAGCCATGTCCAGTGTGATGCTGACCGACCAATCAACAGAAGCCTGACGACACTGCCCTTCATTTGCATTTAACCTTTCTTGATGACAACACTTGTAATACACAAGAAAAAGTTAATAAAAGAGACACTTGTATAAAGAAAAGACTAAACAAAATATATGCTTTTCTTGATAAAACCACATGTTTAAGGAAAATGAAAAAGAAAATATATATACATTTCTTGACAAAAATACATGTGTACGAAAAGAAAAAATATGTATATATTTTGATGACAGCAGATGTAAAAGGAAAGGAAAAACTAAGTACATACATTTCTTTTCGACAACATGTGTAAGGACAAAAGAGAACAGCATATATTTTTCTGCTTTTATTTTTTATTATGTCAGTTTTGGTCCTCCATATTGATGCAGTTTGTGATGAAGATTAAATTAGGAAACTATCCATCTGTCTTTCCATGTGAATATCTATTGTCTGGCAATAGTAGCTTGTAGTTCTGTGCGGAGAGACAAATGGTCATCATCAGCCATCAGATGGCTACTTTCAGGCTTATGGCTGGTTCTTTCACTTTCTTGTCCTTGTTGGAAGCATGCATCCTAAAACTTGGTTCCATCCTGTCCTAGTACACTTAAATAAAGTCTACATTGTTCCATTTCATCAGTAATCACTCACCCTGTGGTAAAAATTGGCCCAAATGTCAAGTTAGTGCAAAATACATTTTAAATTGGCAGGAACTCTAAAGAAATGTTACTTATTGCTCCATTACTCACAAGTGCCCCTGTTTTCTCATAAACATTGCCTGATTTTAACCATCACATGAACATCATGAACAGGAGAAAAGATAGTTTCAGCTCAATGTAAAGTTGTATTATAGGCATTCTGTCCAAAGTCTGTTTCCTGAGTTGGTCTGTAACAGCAGCTGAATAAATGAATGAAGAATATGTAGATTATGAATCCATCATAATGCAGCCAACTCAGTTACCATGTCACTCCATCTGATTACATAAGAAATAAACTCACAATCAAGATACTTTGCTGCAGTGTAGAGAACCAATAAGCTGTTTCAAGCACAAAATTCTTCATATAATTAGTAAATAATTCATATTTTGATAGCAGTTTCTTTTGCTTTTATTTCTCAGAGATGAGATGTAAAGCAACCATTTCATCTTCAAATCAAGACTTCATAGAACAACAATACAAAAAAGGAGGGCGGAGGGAGTGGCAGAGTTTATGAGCAGATTGGCTCATTGTTCAAACAGAGGTAACCACAACCCTGTTAAGACGCACATGGCTTTCTTTTAGAGAATTTCTGACCTCTCTCCACTGTGCTCCATTGGGATTACTGTTAGCTAACTAATGATATTTTGTTGAGTTTTTTTCTAGTTTTATTTTTTTTCCAATGACATCATGAACATGAACATCACTTAAGATAAACACAAAAAAAATAAATGAATAAAAACAATTTAAAAAAGAGGCGGAATAATAGTGTAAGCATGGTCAAATCTGGAATCACATCACATTTTGCCATATCTTTCTTTTAACTGCATTACACAAGACTAGGAATGCAAAGAATATCAAAAGGTTTAAAACACAGCACACAAGGTGGACCTATCATTCTTTGGCTAACATGGACTTCGGAAACCTTTGGTTAGTTGTGGTCTGGGTTCACAGGGAGGCACCATCTGATCTCAGGGGCAGACAGCCTCTATTTATTATAGATAACATTGTGTTAGATTTTTAATATCTTATTTTCATATATACTCATATATCTTACATTTTAAATGGCTGGAAGACTTTTATTTGCCCCCAGGATATGTGTTTCCTTTTTGAGCAGCAGGAAGCGGGCCGAAATGAGAAACAGAAAGCCTCCAGCCGTCGCTGCCCTGATAGCAGGACATCAAAGACAAATGGACAACAGATGCCACTCTGGGGCCAACCGTTGACACCCAGCAGGGGAATGGATCAAAGTCTAGAAGTCCCGAGAAACTCTGGTTTTGACTCAAGAGTGGAAGCTTTATTGCCCAGAGAGACAACAAACAACTGTGTTTTTATAACTTCATTAGAAGCAAAGACAAATCTTGAGAACTACGCTTGAAGACAATAGCTGCATAAATAAAGGATGGCACCATTGTTTGAGTAGAGACTTGTGACTGAAATCTGATAGCTGTGTTCACTGTTTGCCACTCCTTCTATGCACATGATTTGTAACTATGCAAACCCTCAATGTAATAAATATGCAATCGTATGAGAGCACGTTAGAACTGGCCTAGAGATGGAGATAGGCTGGTTCTCCATTCAATTCTATTGTATGTAAAACCGTTTCGATTTCGTCCTTTATTTAATGTTTTAGGAAATGTTTGGGTTTAGATCAACACATTGTTATGCCATTATTACAACACATGTCACTGCTGGCATTATTATTAGTTGGATTTTTTTTTTCTGTAGTAGTAATATTATATTATTTCATCAGTAATTTTTACTCTGTCCTTTTCATTTATAATATCAACAACATTGCAAGTACCACACTGGACTCTTCTAGCATTTATCTTTTTCTGTTCTCCATTATTGTCTTTTTTGCACACACATTTCTAACATTTGTATTTGTTGTATATATCACAATAAAAAAGAGAATTTCTGACTTTTGACTGTAAGTTTGAAATGTTAGTTCATCTGACAGTGTAGGTGTACTAATGAGGCTGAAGAAAATCTTGATATGAGGTGACCAGTCCAGAGAGTGGAAGAGAGTGAATCATTTTGAAAAAGAGACAGTCTGGAGTTACAGTTGAAAACACTTCTCTAAAGCTAACCTCCTACTCATGGTTTTGTGGTTCCACATTTTTATCATACCATATCAACTTTATTTATGAAGCACTTTATACACCAACAAGACCAAAGTGCTATACACAATCATAACATAACTTAGAAAAGATCAAATATAATACATATTAATATACAGACACAATAAAACATAGTGAATCATCTCAGATTGTGCCAAAAGCCAAAGAAAAAAAAAGGGTCTTAAGAAGAGACTTAAAAATAGTGAGTGAAGAGGCCTGTCTTATGCCCAAAGGAAAATCATGCCATAGCTTGGGCGCTGCCACAGAAAAAGCAAGGTCATCTGCAGAACAATGAAAAGCAATCCCCATACTTTCTATAAATAGAGCCAAGAGGAAGGAGGCCCAACAAGAAAAAGAAGAGGGCCTAGAACCTCAGTACAACAATCGAGCGGAGGGGGACCTATGGGCATCGAGACAGATACAAAACGTACGCTTGATTTCTTATTGGTTTAAATCAGATTTAAACCAATCCGGAGCTATCATGATATGAATTAGAAGCTATTTAAAATATTTTCTAATGTGTGACATTTTTAAGTTTTGGAGAGCTGGGTGTTTACCTGTGTGCCCAGACTGTGGACCAGCACACCTCTGTCAGGTCTCTTTTTAGGAAGGGTCTGGACAGTGGCGTTGTGGTACTCCGCCCCAGTCAATCTGTGCCTGTAGCCCCCAAGGAAGGGCTTCTTCTGGTGGGAACGCTCTATCTCCACTACCACCTCCTTAAACACTCCTTCATCTGGAAACCGAGACAAAAACATACTCAAGATCAAATGTTCAAAGCTCTAAGCAAAGAACATGAATACCACCTCGAGGTCAAACAATTATGAGCTGAGTAAATCAGACTGGATTAGGGTGTGATAGCTGGTGCTGCTGGGAACATTCAGCTTTCTGTGGTAGAGTTGAGGAAGGGTGAGATGATGTAATGCTGTTAATGGGCCATGTGAAAAAGACTGCCTAACAAATTGTTTATTTAGCCGAATATGTCAGTTTTCACCCTTAATTGATAGCATGCTTTAATAAGAACCACACAACATGGATTTTATTTAGTAATTGTGATATTATTTAGGTCATTTATTTAGGAATTATTCAGACACTGAAGATGTATAATTATTTATCTTTCTAGAACCACAGTTACATCAGATTAAGAAATAAACAGTAAGTGTAAGTTAAACCCACCGGAGTGCGACTCTGCATTTCTTTGGAGTTCTAACTGGACTCACCAAAGCGATCTGAACATTTCCAAGTTCAGAAAGTTTAAGTTTTAACTATGTAGAAGATGAGCTTTGGTCTTGAACTTCTGGGCAACAGTTCCAAAGTAGCAACATTTCATTTCAACAAACACACCTAAAACCTGGTAGTGGCAGCATTACTTTTTTCAAGATGGTAGCTCTTCCTTCCTATATGATAAAACCCTAACCCCACACATGGTTTTGTTGAGGGAAATGAAAGTAGAAGCAGTTACAGACACCACTCTGTTCTACTGAATGCTGGGAATAAAACAAAACAGTTTTATTTAAGTTTTCAATATAAACTTTGATTAATTCTTATCAACGTTAGGGTTAAGTTATTACTGATTACATTTGGGTCCATACCTTTTTGGACCTGCACAGTAATGACATCGGGCATGGTGTCATGTTCTGGGGGGAGGGGAAGGCGGAGCGGGTAAGAAGTTGGGTCAGAGGAGCTCATCTCCATCTGGGTGGAGCTGTGAGGTCGGATGCCAAGTTCCATTAGGCTCTGCTTCTCCTCTACCACTCTACCTGAAAAACAGTGATCTGAGGTTTTGTCTTTTCTGAAACCAAAACACTCTGGAAATTATAATATGAGGTTAAACAGAAAATAATACATAAAATGCTGACCAGTGTGAGCTGTCCAAACCTCAGTAATCAAGTCTAAATGAATCTTAACTGTTTTATGGTTAACAATAGTTAATTTGTGTAGTTGCCTGTCAGATATCTGTCAGAGACAGATAAGAGATTATCTCTATCTGACTGAAGCATTACCTCTCTGCTCCATAGGGAATGTGGCATTAACATCATTTATTTAAGGGACTGGGCTGGTAAAATATTCAAAAGTCAGCTTCATTAAAATAACACCATGAAAGGTGTTAAATTCAGAATGTTGCCTTCACATTGGCTTTTGATCAGAAAACGTTCAGAGCTTCCTTGAAGAACATTCCAGTTTTAAAACTGACAGGTTAGTTTGGTTAACAAAAACGTAAGGCAAAGTCGAAGCACAGAGATTGAATTTGACAAGTAAAAACAAATGTGATCTGATTACACAAAAATATAGTTAAAATTAGTTTCAACAGTATTTATGAGATTTAGATTTAAATTGGAAGCCCAAAACACACCCAGATATCTGAACTGATCTACTTTCTGAATTTTCTTCATCATCAGTCACCACTGTGTTAACGTTTCAAAAATCATGTGTTCTATTCTCCGATTAAGCAGACACAAGACAGCTGATTCTTCTCTTTACATTTATTATGTACATCAAGGCAGGTCTGGCAATAACCAGTCCCTGGCTGGAAAGGCTGTTCTATCTAGGGGTACCTCAATTTATCGGCTGGCTGGTTTATCTATATCACAGGTGTCAAACTCCAGTTCTGTCCTGCAGTTTTTTTGTCCCACAGGTACAAAACACTGAAATTAATTGGCTTAATTACCTCCTCCTTGTATAGATCAGTTCTCCAGAGCCTTGGTAATGACATAATTATTCTATTCAGGTGTGGTGCAGTACCTGAATAGTGCACCACACCTGAATAGTCTAAAAGTTGCCCGATAGGGCTGGAGTTTCAGACCCCTGATCTATGTTGTTTGCCTTGATATTGGGAGAAAACCAGTCTTATCCCCTGATCCTATCTATCTCAGCAAAGGTCTAATTCTGTGTTCACACCGAACGTATTTTGCGCATATCAAGTTGACTTTGAAGTCAGCCACATGACATTTTGCTCTTGTCGCGTGTCAAGATCCGCCAGACGTTCATTGGGACAAGCAATTTTCTGTTGCCATTCTCTGTACTATGGCAGATGAAACTGAGAGAGTGGCACCAAAATATTATGGAGTGAATGATTAGTAATCTGTGATTGACCAGAAAACTGCAATTGGTGCAGCTCTAGTTCTAACATTCAGATCGTAGTTATATAACTTACAAGGACATCAAACAAGATAGATGTATCACTTATAACCCACACAATACATGGTATCCTAAATCATAGGTGTAACATCCTGAAGGACTGTTGTGGACATACTTATATTAATATAGGTTTACATGCAAGAATTCTTAGAATTGCATTACACTTGTGGGAAAACTTGCAAATAAAACAAGTAACTGTAACTTTGGTATCAAATAATTACAACAATAGATTATTCTTGATTTATTTTCAGAAAACATCTGTAATAACACATTAAGATTATAATAAGAGTAACTAATAAGTTATGGTTATCACAATATTATAAAAGCATGCTAAATCAAAGAAACTAAAAAGGGTGTGATTTTGGCATTGAACTTGAAATGGTGTAAAACATGTAACTACAATTAAAGATCATTAATGTGTTGGAGGTAGATAGTAGGTGAAAGGCTAGAGGAAAAAGGAGAACTAACAGGAGGACAGAGATTACCAATGCCTTACTTGGAAACAGATTGTTGAACAACATAAACTCTTCAAAGAAAAGGTTGTACAGGCAATGGTTGTAGGAGGACCGTTGAGCAACCCTGAGACATTAGCACAGACATCAGGATAAAATGTCTCCAAGACAAAGATGGATCTGAGATCATCTATCCAAGCAGTAAGCCAATGTCAGCCAGTGTTAGCCAATGCAAACACACCAAAAGTATGGATAAACCCTATAAAATGTCAGCTGGGATCAGACCCCAAAAACGAAGGCAAAGAATAAGAACTGGTGCCTTCCTTCCAGGAGATGTTCGTCTACATCTCAATCCTATCTATCTCAGTGAGACAAGATGAAGGGGACTTCAGTGCTGCAAGACAAGGAGCTCAGGATCGCTACACACATGAGGACGTCTCCCTGAGACCTGCTGCTCTAAGTCAATACTCTTCCTGCTAGCACCAAAGTCCTGTGTGACCTCACCATCGATGCAAAGACAAAAGCTGATCAGACCAACAGAGATTCCTGCCTTCGTCGATCAACCTTCTCCTCCCGCTGCAGGACCTTTTCATCATCAGGCCAGTTCTGGGGTTCGAAACATCATACTTCGTTCGTCTCTCTCAAAGGTTTCCTTTTTAGTTCTTAAGATCAGTGTTAGGGAAAGATAGGCTACATGATTGATTTGACTTATTTGATTATTTCCACTACTGAATTAAGCTGCACTGACCCTTGCAAAAATGCTTTACTAATAAAATATTTAGTGTAAAGAAAATCTAAAAGATGTTGTGGACATTCAATTAATGAGTCACCTCAAAGTTCTTTGATGGTAGTAAAATAGCTGTGATGTTTGATTCTGGGGAAGAAAAAGTAGAAAATGTTTTATAGGTTGCTTTAGCCCAAATTTAAAACAACATCCTTGGAACTCGCCAGAGTCACTAAAACCAACCTGATTCAGTAACAAGTGCAAGTTGTAAAAAAAGAGAAGGAGCGACCATTAACAGTTGTGCTCTGTGAAACTAGTTGGCTGCAGGCTGCTCAGTCTGGCTAATTCACAGGGGAAAGAAGGGTGGGACATCTGGATGTAGGTCGTCAGCAACCAGGCAAATCCTTTCTTGATGTCAGCTTAAACAGAGTTTACTTCAGATCTGGATAGGGTAAATCCCAGCAGATTTAGGAAACTCAATTCACCCATTAGACGGAGACCTTGTAGCACATCTCCCCTCTCAGAAGAGGAAGTAGTGACTGAGTGAGTAGAGAGAGAAGGGGACAACAGGTGGCTGCGCTGTCACTTTGCATTGAGTCAGAAATATCAGTGTTCTGGAAAATTACACAATCAAGGAAAGAATCTGAAATAGGGACGCAAAGTTTTTATATTAAATGAAAATGCTATGACGGCAAGATAACAAGGTCCAAGGTAATCACTTCACAGGCCAGTAAAAAGCTTTAATTAAAAATGTATATCAGAAAGTGGAGAGTAGGTTAGTTATGCTAGCTTAAGTTTTATCAACATGTACCCTTGTTGTGCAGTTTGGAATATTTTGGCTCAATTAACACAAAATAAGGTGAACTACACACATTTTCTGAGTGATAATGATGGGTTTTTATGTCAATTGCAGATACAAACACTTGTAACTATTCGAATCTGTAAATATATTTAAAAGCAACAACTGTGTTTTTATAACCTGAAGAGATTCACACACAGGATCTTCAGGAGCTACGACGATGTGCTTGAAGACAACAGCTGCATAGATGCAGGATGACACTATTGTTTAAGCAGAGACTTATGACTGAAATCCTATTGCTGTATTCACCTTTGCCACTTCTTCTATGAAAATTATTACTAACTAAGCAACGCCTCAATGTAATAAATATGCAATTGTATGAGAGCAAGTTAGAACTGGCTTGGAGACGGAGATGGCAGATGTCCCTAAGCTGCTTCTCCGTTCAATCTTATTGCATTTAAAACTTCAACTGTTTCTCTCTCATTTTTTAGTTAATGTTTTATTAAATGTTTTGGGTTCAGATCCAACAATCAGGAGTGCAGGTGTTTAAGTAGCTAATCAACCACAAGGCCCGAAGTTCAGGCATCACTTTGGTGTTTTTACTTTTTTGTGTGGGAAATGTTTTGTGGTGTTTTAAGTTAATTCCTGATGCACTTGACCGTAATCTTTGCTCTGTGCTCCAAGGGCTGTTGTTATTGGTTGCCATTGCAAAGTGCCATGGGTGACAGACTGGAAAAAATAATACAATAACCGTTTTCCTACATTTTCCCTGGACTAATTGCATAATTGAATGTGGCAATACTCAAATAAATCATCAAATAAGATAAAATATTTCATAAAACATATAGGAGCCAAGGTTTGTTAAATTTTAAACCATGGGTCCTACAGTGACAATTAAGTAATATTTAATTATTAGTTAATATAAAAGAGAAATCGTTTTATTCTCTTTTGTATCTTTACAGAACTGACAGAAACTAAACTGTTTTATAGATTTATATGCAGAAAAAATATACATTTTACATATCCAAACATCAGCATCTCAGCTTTAAGCCACATTTTATAGAATCCAGTAATATCGATGGTCACTCTACTCATCAACTGCTCCAAACAGTTGATGAATAGTTTTTGTATCTTTAATATTTGCTACATTAAAGCAAATATACTCAGCAAATACAGACTCATTCCATACATTAGAATATGACTGAAAAGTTCCTCTGTTAGTAATTCTATTACCAAGTGAAAAACATTATATAGATAATAAAATTAAAATAATAACCCATTTAAATACTAATCATTATATTTAAGGACAGTTAGATTATATATTTGTTTCTGGAATGTGTGTATTTTAGTGATGTCTGCAGGAAGTGACACAGCATGCCAAATTGGAAGCCAATACAAGCCAAACTAAGAGCTGACCTGGCAAGAAAACCAACCAAAAGGCTAAGGGTAAAAGTTTATGACTCAGAAACACCAGAACTGCGCTTGAGAACTCAGATGCACTAAAGACAGAAAACTTTATTAGAAAATATTTATGACTGCGTGTTGGCAGCTGGGTTTTCTGATTTCCCCTTTCCTAATTAAAGGCTGCTAACCTATGTAACAAGGGACCGTCCAAAGAGAAATAAAAGCAAAATGTGGAAGGGCGTGCTTCAGAGCGAGTTTAGGAGACCGAAATGGAGAATCTATTTTCCCATTCTCCGTTTAGTGAAAAAATCTAAAACACTTTTCTCTCTCTCTTTTGTTGTAGGTTCTTTAAACCTCACAATAGATTGATTAGATGTTTTAACATATTTTAAAAAACATACATATTTTGTAGTATGTTTAATACCTGCTAAAAGGTTATTTTTCAAAAGGTACTATTAATAAGACAAAATGAACTGAACTTATTTAGCGGTTTTCCAGTCATTTTGATCACTCAAAGCGCTTTACACTAGAGTCACATTCACCCATTTGCACTCACAAACACACACACATTCATACACCGATACGTAAACTGGTAGGCAATTTTGGGTTAAGAGCCTTGCCCAGAGGCACATCGACATGTGGCAAGAGTAAGCTGGAATCGAACCTACAACCTTCCGATTGCAAGACGACTCCTCTGCCAGACAGCCACAGTCGCCCACTAGCCTGACCAGGACCTATATCCTAATTTATTGAATAAGACGTTTGGCATTCACAAACAAGTTTTGGCATTATTCTTAACACTAAAATAGAAAAGGCCTTTCAGTAACTGTCAGCGCCCCCTCATTACACCCGCTGGTCCCCATCAACTTACAACACAAAGTTACACCCTTGTCCTAAATAAATACTCCATTGATGAACCTTATTATCAATATGAATTGTCAGGGCACTTTTCTGTGTGTGGAGGCAGAGATCTGCAAATGATCTGTATAAGTCTTGTCTCATCTGACCCAGCTGCTTGTATTTATCTAAACCCGAGTCACAGCTGATTTTTCACGTTTTCCTGTCTTGTGCGAAATCCTGTTCTCTTGTGAAAATCTGTTCCCCCTGTGTTGGAAACACGCACTGCAGCCCGAGAGGAGGATCCGACCATTTTAACGGTGCTTCTGATCAATTTCTCAGTAAAACAACTCATATAATCATGTCAAGGTTGTAACTTTCAGTTTAATCTGCAGCTTTATTTATTGTAAAATAAATAAACTAAAAATAAATAAAGAGGTCTTGTGTGGAGTTTTTCTTACACTGTTTTGTGTGGTCTTTTAATTACCAGAAGAGTCACTTTTTTCTAGCTTTTGTCATGTATGCCTGACAAATAAAAGTCAGTCACCAAACATTGGTTTCCAACACCTTGTGCGAATTTATAATTTTTCCCTGCTTACATAAGAGGATGGAAGCTGGCTGACAACAGGGCACAGAAATTTTGACTTTCTGAAAAGATAGTGTAGGCTTCCTGAAAAATCCCGTTCTAATGTAAAATATAACAGACTGCTGGATAAAAGAAATTTCTAGTCAATTTTTGGTGGCTCAATCACACATAACAAATATTGAAAATTTTGGAAACATTTGCTCTTTATTTACCAAAGTTCCCTGGGAGAAACCAAATATTTTAGCTGACTGAAATAACCTGTTCCCCCTTCAAACAGTGTTGAACAAGGGAACGGGTTATTTCTGGCAGTTAAAATATTTGGTTCCCCCCCATAACTTTGGCAAAGGAAAATGTCTCTAAACCTACAGGATTTATCTTGATGATGAGAGAAAAAAAGCACATTCATTTGTTCCCAATTTGTAAATGGGAGCAAATTACAAATAGTTCCCAATTAATTTGTTCCCATGTTATGGGGGGGAACAGATTATCTCAGGTAACTAAAATATTTGGTTCCCTCCAAGAACTTTGGCAAATAAAGAGTAAATATGACCAAATTCACAAGATTTGTTGTTGATGAAGAGAAGATTAAACTGATTGTTACAACCTTGACATGATTATATGAGTTGTTTTACTGAGAAATCGATCAGAACCACCGTGAAAATGGTCGGATCCTCCTCTCTGGCTGCAGTGCGTGAACCCGACACAAGGGAACAGAATTTTGGACATGACCTATTCTCTTAAACTGGCATACCCTTCTACAAGGAAGGTCTTTCTTGGATCATATTTTTTCTACCTCAGCAACAGTAAGAGTTCTAGATTTTCATAAAGCAGAGACTGATTTAATCATATTCTGTTCAAAGATACAACATGTTTCTCAAACCCCTCTGAGGTTTCTAGCACTGGCTAGTTGAAAACCTCCAAAGCTTGATGTGGAGTTGTTGCAGTTACAAATATGACAAGAAATTATGCATACAGCTGGCAATGGACATCTTCAAAACTTGTAGGTGATTCATTAAAAGCAGAAAAGTAGTGGTCCTAAAACAGATCTTTGTGATCCATCATAAAAATGATTATTCAAATTTAATTTAAATTCAAAACTATTCAAATTCCCATTCAAATTTGTATGCACACGAGTAATAGATGAATGTTTTAAAAGCATTTTTTATCAATAAAGTCTGATATAAAATAAGCTTCCACCCCAAATATATCATTAGTCTTCCAGTTTTATTCAATTTATGTAATAAATAGATAGATATGTTTAATCTACTCAATCCATTTTTGCCATACACTGGAAGGTAAATCAGTTTTTAAAAGTTTTGCATGTGACAAACCAGGTCTAAGATGACGAAACACAGATGTGATGTGAGGTTGGAGGCTAAAGCAAAGGACTCACCATTCAGGTAGAGCTGCAGCACCTCAAGTGGGACTTTCAGCTCTGAGGCAAGGTGATGCTTTATCTCTTTAATGGTGAGCCCGATGGCAAAAGCCATGGTCATCACATGGCCCCCTGGCACTAGCAAAACTTTCACTGGAAGCAAACACAGACTCTGTCTGTCACAACATTTCTTTACTGCTGAAATGGGACATTTCTATGTTAAATTTCTATTTTTAATTTGACACATTTGTAAGAGTTTTAAAACACGTGCATATGATTTGAAAATGAGCATCCATATTTTTCTCCTATGACAAACAGACAAAGACAAATGGAAGAAGAATTTTACTTCTTGGTTATAGGAACCAATAGTTTATGAGACAACCATGCAATTTTTCTTTTCTAAGAAAACCAAGAAATGCAGATGAAATAAAGGCTGGAACACCTGATCACAGGTGTCAGACTTTGATCAACTCCATCCAACACAGAAACAGGGCCTTTACAACCAAATTCTAGTTCAGTGATTCACAAGAAACAGAAATCTTCCAGCATTCTCACTTTGCACAATAAATGTTGGAGTCTGGAATAACATTACCTTCACTGCTATTTTGAACAGTCTAATATTTTGTAAATTCATATAATAATTTTTTTAATGTTTGTTTTAAAGTTGAATGACCAAGATTTAAAATCATTGCAGAAATAAAAAGCTATTACAAAGATAAAGGGTTAAAACTTATAATTTTGAATACAGTTCAAAATAATTGAGGCTCTCAATTGATGTTTCACTTTTCCTCCAAACTCACCCTAAGTTTGGAAGAGACGGGGGTTAGGGCACCTGATCAAACTGTGCTTACCTGTAGCTGTTGAGTTTTTAACATTCATTTCCTTATCCTGCTCATCAGCATCATCGGGCATTTGATCCTTCACAGCATCCAGAACAGCTAGATCACGCAACAAAGGAAGAAATTTCACAGAAAGCCTTCTCTTTGCTTTCTAAAATATCAGTGTTTATGAGTAGATTTTTAGACCTTCATAGTCTACCTGAAGACGCAGACATACAGGCTTCTACATAATTGACAAAACATTGCTGTGTTGTCGTACTTCTAACTTTATAATGGACACATTTTAGATGACCTTTCAGAATTTTATATAAATCTGAATAATTCCAAATGTAAGATGATTAGGATAGCTTGAGATGAAATAAAAATATTTTCTATGGAGCTTTGAACATTTCCTGTTTTCTGTTGCAGATCATCACATAGATCACCTAGCTCGACCTCCAGTGTCTTTTACATCCTGATCTACATTTGCAAAGAAAAAAATAAGAGAAAAGTGGCTGAGGATCAGCAAGAAGGCCATTGCCCTTATTTCAGCTTCTCGTAACATTTGCCTGTTCACTTTAATACAGTTCTTTACTAATCGCTTCCTCACACTCCTTCCATCCCTAAGCATGATAGTGTTCAAGCTGAACAGCAAAATATTGCTACAACACAGCAATGTTTTGTCAATTATGTAGAAGCCTGTATGTCTGCGTCTTCAGGTAGACTATGAAGGTAAAAAATAACAGCTCTTACTTTCCTTTTGGCCAAGTTCTCAAGATATATTTTTGCCTTACTCGCACTGGGCTCATCTGAGCCGTCTTCGCTCTTCTCCTCTCTGCCGCCCCCTGGTGGCTGCGTTGTCGTACTTCTAACTGTCTGTGGGCTCTCTCGAGTCTTCTCGTTCTCTCCTTCCTCTCTGGTTTCTCCTGGTTTGCTCATTGTGGTTTGAACTGGCAGCGTCAGGATATCTTGGTAGAAAAATACTGAACTTAGATCAACAAATGTTTAATAAGAAAGTCTAACCGCATCAAATCCACGACAAAACCGCGTCGAGAATAAATCCTGGAAACCCGTCAATATCTACATTTTCACATAAAGCCGTTCCTATATTTTTGTTCATTTATCAAGGTTTGCAAATTACAAAACTAAGCTTTCGAAGGCGTAGGTTTAAAATGGCTCAGTAAAACGTTTACATGTTACCATAGCAACTGGTTAGACTTGGCAAAAGGATCACCAGGGCCGGACCTAAGAGGATGTGGGCCCCTGGGCTTGAGCCAATGTGTGTGGGGTGGGCCCTACTTAATCGTCTTTATACAGTTGCATGCACATGTATATATATGTAAATTCACTTCACACCCACCGTGGGTGGTCCTTATCCTCTGAACTCGGGTCCTCTACCAGAGGCCTGGGAGCTTGAGGGTCCTGCAGTATCTTGGCTGTGCCAAGGACTGCTGCACATTTCTGGACTGAGATGTCTGATGTTGTTCCTGGGATCTGTTGTAGCCACTGCTCCAGTTTGGGGGTTACTGCCCGAGGGCCCCGATGACCACAGGCACCACTGTGGTCTTCACCTTCCAGGCCCTCTCCAGTTCTTCCCTGAGGCCCTGGTATTTCTCCAGTTTCTCCTTTTTCCTGATGTTGCAGTCACTTGGTATTGCTACATCTACCACAACGGCTTTCCTCTGTTGTTTATCCACTACGACAATGTCTGGTTGGTTCGCCCTTACCATTCTGTCTGTCTGGATCTGGAAGTCCCACAGGATCTTAGCTCTGGCGTTCTCCACCTTTGGGGGTGTTTCCCACTTTGATCTCGGGGTTTCCAGTCCATATTCTGCACAGATGTTTCTGTACACTATGCCTGCCACTTGGTTATGTTGTTCCATGTACGCTTTCCCTGCCAGTATCTTGCACCCTGCTGTGATGTGCTGGACTGTCTCAGGGGCCTCCTTGCACAACCTACACCTTGGGTCTTGTCTGGTGTGGTAGATCTGGGCCTCTATTGCTCTGGTGTTTAGGGCCTGTTCCTGGGCGGCCAGGATGAGGGTCTCTGTGCTGTCCTTGAGTCCAGCTTTTTCCAGCCATTGGTAGGATTTACTGATATCAGCCACTTGGGTTATTTGCTGGTGGTACATCCCATGTAGGGCTTGTCCTCCATGATGGTATCTCTGGCACCTCAACCTCTGTTCCCTGTTGTCTGAGACATTCACTGAGCACATTGTCTGTTCAGGCTTTGTCCCTGATGTATTTATGGATCTTAGATGTTTCATCCTGGACAGTGGTTCTCACACTCACTAGTCCTCTGCCTCCTTCCTTGCGGCTCGTGTACAGTCTCAGGGTGCTGGATTTGGGATGGAACCCTCCATGCATTGTTACTTGTTTTCGAGTCTTAATATCTGTGGATTTTATCTCCTCCTTGATTACTGTTTTTACATATATATATATATATATATATATATATATATATATATATATATATATATATATACACACACACACACTGCTCAAAAAAAATAAAGGGAACACTCAAACAACACAATATAACTCCAAGTAAATCAAACTTCTGTGAAATCAAACTGTCCACTTAGAAAGCAACACTGATTGACAATCAACATCACCTGCTGTTGTGCAAATGGAATAGACAACAGGTGGAAATTATTTTCATCTTTCGGGGTCCCGGTCTGCAGCCACGGTAACCCGTGGTAAAATCTGGGCTTGAGGATGTGACCAAATGAGCTATGAAAATAGCTCGAGACCTATTTTAGATCAACCCAAAATGCAGCGTTAAACGCACTGAAAGAAAAACCAGCCCAGGATAGACAGGCAGTTAGACTTTATAAATCCCTTTAGGATTTTCCCTCGGGGAAATAACTCAGCACCAATACTTAATTTTTTTTGTAAGCATGTAGTATAATTCATAACCTAACATATGTTATTAATTTCAATTTCTATTTCAATAACTGAAAGTGATGTAAATAGGAAACATAAAAGCATATGAACCAAGAACCAAGGAGGGAGTAGAATCAGTAACTTAACGGCCCTGGAAGGGTGACTGTACTGAGTGCAGCTTCCAAGCCAGTTCTAAGAAAAACCTTTTAGCATAAAAGGTAAAACATATCTGGCGTACAGGTAGTCTGGTTGTCTTCCACAGGGCATTCAGGATGACCTGGACTATGGAGCATCTGCACCAACACAGAAAATGAAAATGATTTTTTAGAAAAGTGAAAAGAAAAACCAGCAGACCAACTCACCTATGTAAATAACATTTATTCAGGTATACAATTTATAATTCTCACTGACCCCACCCGTCCCGGCCCCTCCCGACCTTTTTCACAGGCTTTATGTCAGTAACTTGGCTTCTTGCTGCAGCATTAGGTCCCTGGAGGAGAATAAGAACTTAAAGGACAGACAGCGAAACAAGCGTCGGTTACTTCTTCACACTGTTTGCAGACAAACCATCACAGGCATCGCCAAAGCCACAAGCTGCTTAAAAATGCCACATTTGGTTCATTATTTGCTTTGTCTTGTATTTGCAAAAGGAGGGCATTTACAGTTGCATTGCATACAAATCATAGTTTATTTTAAAAAAAGAGGAAATGACAAATATTTTTAATTGTTCCCTTTAAATTAAATGATGATGGTGTAGCTTCCTGACAGGATGATGGAATGTTGCAAAAGAAAAGAAAGTCCTGCTAAATCAGCTATACATGCATGTGTGTCTGTAACGCAAACATTGTCTTGTGACATTAATGTCTGAGTATCCTACTGTCAATGTATTTTATTTATGCTATTACAAATACACAAAACAAGAAACCAAACTATTTTAGAAACTGTGCAAAACAAGACAAAAACAACAAAACCTTTTAATCAAGTGAAAAATCAACATTAAAGATCTACACAAGGTTTGGTCATGGTCATGTCTGCAAGAGGAGATGAAAAGACAGGGAATAAATAAAGGACAAATATGATGGGAAAATAGTGTCTATGCATTTCAGAGAAATACACTCAAACATTTTCCTGCCAAATTGCTTGGAATATTGTCCATTTAAAGTTTCTGAAACAGGCAATGAAATGTAACAGAATAACTTCCCAGGAAGCTCCGCCCACCCCCAGGTCTTCCCTGCAGCGTTTCCTTCTAGAGCTCGGGTCCAATCTGTGCTCTGAACTAACGGTGCATTAAGTGCTTTCTACAGACGGAGGAGGAGGAGAGAAGCTTATACCACTATGGTGTGTGATGATCAGAAAAGCTTCACTGATTTGGTATTGCACAAATTAACTGGAATTATCATTTTCTATAAGCAAAAATAAATATACTGGAAACTCAACATTTACATTACATGATGTAGTGGGGTTCTGGAAGAGTTTTAGTGTTAGTGGTAGGCTGGGAGAGGGGCAGGGGGGCAGCTTCACTAGTCATCCCACTCCTCATCATCCTCAAAGTCATCCTCTTCGTCTTCATCCTCATCATCATCTGAGAAAACAAACATGGAGGTTTAAAGAGCCAGTCAGCAGCTACGCCCTTGTCTGCTGTCCTGGGAGGAGGGGCTGCTTTCTGCCATATGAAAAAAAACAAAAAAAACACAAACTTGCACAACACCTTGTCGAAACAATAATTAATATTATTATTTCTATTAGGTCGTTCATTTGAACATGTTTTGTTGATTTCTTTTTTTTTGCCTTTGATAGTTATAAACGTTTTGGATCTAAGTGAACATGTTTGATTAGTGACGTCGTGGCCTCCTGACGCCGTTCAGTTTGTCACCTGAAGACGCCACTATCTGAGACCGACTGATCAATTGCAATCCTCTTATTGGGCACATCTGATCGATTAATCACACACAGGTGAATATTTGAAAGTCTGATTTGTCTGAGTGGAAACACAGTTATCCTACACAATTATCGTACCATAACACAATTAAAATCTGAAGTATGAATGTGTAGCCTGTAGGGGAATTATATTTTAGTATTATACCTGTCTACATGTAAAGTGGTGTTAGGGTAATTAGAAATTCCAGTTAATAGGGCAGACAACAGGTCGGGTCTGTAGGGCAGATGGAAAACTATGTGAAACAACCCCGCACACCTCGCCTTTTGAGTCTGTTCTCATGAAGTCATGGCTGGAGGCCAGAGAGCTTTGTGATGCAGAGACTCACCAGAGGAATGGATAGCTTTGCTCCTCTTTTGCATAACCTCCATTAGGGCCCCAACAATCCCTGCAGTTGGAGCCGGAGTTGGGGGGCCCGATTCTGGAAGATCTGATACCTAAAGCACAAAAACATCCATCACACAGCAGGCCTCATCATTTTTCATTCCTTAACAGTCTTTGTTTCATTAAAAAAAAAAGTGTTGTTTTTTTCTCAACAATAAGGAGAAATAGAATTTCTCAAAAGAGACTTTGCCACCTGGTGGATCACCGGTGTAACATCATGGAGGACTAGAACCAAACATCATCTCTCTGATATGCTGGAACTAGACAACAAGGAAATCACCTAACTCCCAAACTGAGCAACCTGCCTGGAGGTCAACAGGCCAGAAACTCAAAGAGCCGACCTAATTCCAGGTCAGTACACACATAGCCAAGCCAACAGCGTTTTTAAGTGGAAGTTGCTGTGGCAGTCCTCTGGGACCATGAAGTTGTTAAGACCTGGTAGCTGCTTATCCTAGTTAACAGAACTTGGATCTGCTGCAGGAACCGGGCCTGCCCCAGGTCCAGCTGAACCCTGGGCAGCAGGGTGTTTACGGAATGCTGTGCTGGTCCTGCAGGAGAGAAGAGTTTGTAGAAGTAGTGCTCACAGTCTTGAGCTGGATCCCCTGTCGGATCTGGTCCAGCAGCGCATCCCGCCCAGTGCTGGAGGCCAGAGCCCGCTGGTTCTGCTCCACCTTCTTCAGCTGGGCCCCCCCCCTGATTTGCTCCAGCAGTGCTGACTTCCCGCCTGGGCTAGGAGAGTCCTGAGCACTGCCGACACCGTCCAGCTCAGGGGGCGGGGGAGGACCTGGAGGTGGTGGTGGAGGGGGTGGAGTAGGTGCAGAGCTGGCCGGGGTTGATTGGGGAAGAACAGGTGGGGGAAGGGGGACAGCTTGAGGGGCGATGGAAGATGCTGGATGGGGGGGAGGGGGAGGAGGCTGCTGATGATGGTTAGGAGGGAGAGGAGGCTGATGGCCCCCCCTAGAGGGGGGAGGAGGAGGAGGGGCACCAAGAGCTCCTGG